TTGTATAGGTAGATCACATAAAGAAACGATAATAAACTTGGAATCATTTTTTCACAATAAAAAAACTGCCGTCAACAACAGCAACAACTATTAGTACGCGAATTGAATGCATTATTTATATGCTTTAAACACAACCGGCACAGCTTAGGGCCGTTCTTAACCGAGATCGCGCCCTGTCGGATCGTGAGCGATGCCTGAGATTGCGATACCGTCGTTCTTAACCGGATTGCGACCAGCCCACACAACGCAAATAGAGCGACACGCGTTCCGCCTCCTTCGGGATCCGGCGATCCCTGGGAGGTCGCGACCCAAGCCTCAGATCAAATTGGTTACCCCGGTTACACAATCGTTTGTAAATGGGTACATATTAGCCAATCACAGGTCGATTTTTGCGATCGCGATCCCGGTTATAAACGGCCATTAGCGTGTCTATCGACGAATTCTGATTCAGCTCTATATGTACGCAAATTGCAATATATATGCTACTATTTATATATGTTTTAGCTTTCATTGAGATAGATATATGAATATATCTATCTTCATTTATTTACAAGTCTATATATATGTATATGCGGATATGTATAGATATATATATAGATATATACATGTATATACGTATGTGTAGATGTATATATATATATATATATATACATATATATATATATATATATATATATATATATATATAGATATACATATATATATATATATATATATATATATATCTATATATATATATAGATATATATATAGATATATATATGTCTATATCTATAGATATACATGTGTCTATATCTGTATATATGGATGTACATACAGGGATGGACGTAGATACATATGTATACATCTGTACATATGTCTATATGCAGACATCTACAGCTACGGATACATCGATAGATACATCGCAATCTATCTATCCAGTGGACACCTGCCCCGAACCAGTCGAACAACCAGCAACCGACTCAAGCTCCTAACAACGAAGCTCCGCAGCCGACACAACCCACACAAGCCTCAAACAATGAAGCACCTCAGCCTGGTCAAAACTCAAACTGGAAGGGTCAGGGAGGTAACTCGCAAACCCCGGCCAATAACGGTAGCCAGAACTCGGACTGGCAAAGCAATTGGGGATCGCCCGGACAGACTCAGACTCAGTACACGTCTGCGCCATCGACGACCTCCGACTCGAGCCAGGCGACGAACCGCGAGTCCCCTGTTCCTACAGAATCCACTTCCTACGCGAGTACTCCGGCCACGACTCCGTCCCCTCCTGTATCGAACTGTAAGGTTCGTCGCGCGAGACACTGAGTAGTGGTTTCTATTGTAGGCAAATAGCCTTACTGTTAGATTTGTTGCGTTGAGAGCTTCGTGTGGGAGTTTGCACGCGAAGCACAGAATTGTTCTAGCCCTTAAACATGTCGTCCTCGTTCAAGTTCAACAGTGAGGCTAAACATTACAGTTCGTGTTGTTGTTGATCAACCGACGAAGCTGGGGAAGAAGACTGTTTTTTTCTTCATCTTTTTGCTGACTTCTTTAGTAGTATTATACAGTAGTAGAACAACGTAGTACTACAAATAAATACTACAGTAGGAATATAGTAGTAGTAGTTGCATTTTGCAGGACTGGTACAGTGAACTTTTATTTTTGATTAAGGATTGAGGTACCAAACAAAAACTCGTAAAACTTAGGTGCTGACACGAAGCCGAGACACCAATCAACTTAAAGGCAGGAAAACAAGAACTTTCTATTACCCAATGCTCACTGTATAAAATTATGTTGGGGATGGATGTCATGTCGCACAAATCCTTAGCAGCGGCGCCAACATTATCATCAAAGTAGCGCCTGCATGATCAAGGGAGCACCAACCCGTCTCTGAATATAGCTAGTTAGGTCATGCTCAAGGTAATCTTTGAAGCGCTTACACTTTAAAGCACTAGCACGGATTCACTAGACTCCGTCTGAAAGAGGCTGCATCACCCCTCCTTTTACACCCTAGCCCTATTTGGTGCCTCTATACAGCTCCTTTAATTCTTATAAAAAAATATTTTATAAACGATATCGTGCACGCGAAAATTATCGATTTCTTCCCAGATATAGTGTCTTTTTTTGTATTGATCTAATGGCTACGAGTCATAAAAGCAATGGGAATGACGATACTGGAAGTATGGTTGGACAAACAGCATTAGCTTTTAAGCTATTGAAAATACAACGTTATGCCATCGGGTCAAAACTGTATGCGTACTTTGTAGTTGCTCACTATTAATAGTAATGCGTTGTGGCACTTTTCAGCTCCATCGCCAACTGCAAATGCTTTGACATGCTCTTGACAAGCTTCTTTGTGTAGTCAGGCTCGAGACGTGCCCACTCCGCTTTGATGCAAGCCTTCAATTCGGCTCGGCAGTCAAACTGACGTCCATTTGCACACATCTGACCGGCAAGAAGTCCCCACATGATCTCAATGATGCTGAAGTCGGGGCTCTTGGCGGACCCTTCCGTAGTTGTACCGCTGTTAGCCTTGAGCCCCCCCCCCCTAAGTAAACCTCGAAGCGTGTATGGAGGCGTTACCCTACGGAAATATTGGTACATATTGCTTATTTTCAGACTGAGTTTTGTCCGGTAAGAAAGCCAGTTTGCTCGCAGAGTCTCCGTGTACTTAGCTGAGTCCTGCTTTCATTTTAGAAAAACTATATCCGTATTGCCGCTCATCGACACGCCCGCCCAAACCATGACGCTTCTACCACCGTTGTCGACATTAGTCTTGGCGCCACTCTAATGTCGTGCTCGTAGCAACGGATCCCATCAGGGTCGTCTAAGTTAAATGTATTTTCTCAGTAAACACTACGGTCTTCCAATACTCCCTGCAATCTGCAAATTTGTTTGCAAATTTTACTCTGGCCACCTTGTGATGGGGCTTCAGCGCTAGAGCAGATCTCCTCTATATATACTTGGCGTATCGGTTTCTGTGCAGCACTCGTATAGCCGTAGTTACACTAGGTCAGCGTCCAACAGTCCCGCGATCTTCTTGGAAGACAGGTTGCGCGTTACGCCGAGTAAAAAAAAAGGTCTGGCACTCCGCTCGTCGATAACGGATGGCCTACAGGACGGCATGTAAGACAATGCCCAACGATAAATAATGTAGTGCACGTATGAAAACCTCGCGCAATACATAATGACATGTACAAACATCAAAGCATACATAATGGAAACGTATATGTCAAGCTTTATGTATTTCGTTAGCGTTTAGTGCTATCAACGGCGCGTACGTTCTAATACGTCTTGTTCTGACGCAGGAACAAAACCTGCCCGAGCGTCGCTGGGTGGAGGCATTTGCGCTCATGGACGAACATGACTCGGGCCATACAGAAGAACCTTTCCACCATATTTTAGGTCGGCGGAATACTGCGGATCAGAGTACTGTTGCTCTTGTTCGGCAAGCCTTTGCCGTTTCTGCACGCTCGTCACGAACGAGATCCCATCGACGGAGGAGCTGGTAATGCCCAACAGCAAACGGGCACAGGGCTACCTTCTCGGCCCGCATCAAGCGAGCAGTCTTGCCGCGTAAAACACGAACGTAACCAGACTCGAGGTCTGGGCTATGAATTATGTCAGCTCGCGAGCCTGTAAAACACAATACAAAGGTTAGAGTTCCCGTCATATACTTTATGGTAGCTGCGTAGCTTACCGAGATAGGTAGAGCATTGCGGCATGGACGCAGTAAGTTTGTCAAGCTATTCGCGAGCGTCCAGCAAGTTGACGTCAGTTTCTTGAAGGGCCTTTGAAACGGACTCCGCATCCTTCAGCTGTACGTGCATGCGCCGGTTGCAGATCTGCGATGTCATCATCCATCGTGTCCAGGTGCTCGAGTAGCTGAAAGTATCGGTGTAGCATCATGAACGTAGAACTCCACCGGGTGGCTTGACGAATTACGGATCGAAGAGACGTTTTAAGCCTAAAATTAAGCAATTAATAAAATAATTAAAAAAACGTGAGTACATACCACAAGTACTATGTGTATGGCATTAATTTCCATAAAATAAAATGAAACTTACCGCAGCTTAGCCGATTGAGTCAGCGTCC